TCCCACCTGAGGCACCAAGTTTACCAGGGTCCTGGAGACAGTTCACAGAGCAGTGCTAGAAATACGAGACACAGGAAGGGCACATGGGGAAGGACAGGAAATGCCAGGAGTCAAGAAAGGGACGTTAAAAGGGGAAATGAAAAATAAATAAAGTCCAACACTGTGTAAGACACGCAAAGTCAGTCCTGCTTTGAGATGTGTATAGCGCACCGCACAGAGTCGTCCACAGCCTGCGTGTCGATAATTGTATGCTGACCACGTACAGAGAACAGAATCAGATCTAGACATCCATATAAAAGCACTGTGCCTAAAACAAGGTCAAGTCTGTTGCTGTTGTTGTTCATTCATAGTTTCAGCCAACAGATTTCCAGTGCTTATTGTATCTCATGCATTCTTCAAGGCACTTCATGGAAATGATTTAATCCCTGTAAGAACTCTATGAGATGGAAGCACTGTCAGTTCTGTTTTACAGCTGAGAATATGAGACAAAGCAAAGTTGTGCCCAAACCCACAAACAGATCATGAGCCAGGATTTGCACCCTGGTCACGGGGCAGAACTGACATAAATGCTATTTAGTATTAATAGTAAACTCAGTAAGACTCAGGTAAATTATGTTAATAAATAATATTCTGATTGAAAATTGATTAACCATTTAAATTTAGAATCGACACACTTATAATTACATTGATGAGATACTCCTTTTTCTCTTCCTATTTCTCTGCTCTATAGAATGATGGTTGCATTTTACGATTTTTGACAAGCCATTTTTAAATCAATTTGAATTAAATAAAGAAAAGATATCAATTTCATAATCTTTCACTTAATTTTCTATAAATAAATTACTTACTTTCTTGTTAACTTGTCCAAAAATGAGATATGCTCCTTAATGTGTCCCTGGGCAGACAAAAGAATATATCTATTCTAGACCTTTAAAACAAATAATTAAATAAATTTGATAGTAAATTTATGATAGCACCAGAATACAAATAAAAAAGAGGAATATATATCTAGCTTATTTTGGCCATTTATTAAATATTATATAATAAATTTAGTTGAAAGTTTTAGAATAAACAGTAAAAAATAAATATGAAGTTCAAACAACTTTCATATTTGCATATAAAGTAAATCACCGCCAAATATCTATCTCATATATATTTTTTCCTTCTTCCACTTTTAATCAATTTTAAACTTTGCTCTTGCGAAATAAGACAGAAAAAGTCAAGAGCCACATGTGGGGAATAAAACTGAAAGCAACAATTGGACAAACAACCAAAACAAACAAAAATTCTTCCCTGGCTAGTATGGTTCAGTAGATTGTGTGCCAGCCTGCAAACCAAAAGGTCACTGTTTCAACTCTCAGTCTAGGGCACAGGCTCGGGTTGAAGGCCAGGTCCCCAGTAGGGGGCATATGAGAGGCAACTACACATTGGTGTTCTTCTCCCTCTCTGTCCCCTTCCCTTCCCCTCTCTAAAAGAAAAAAAAAGAACTTAAATTCATAGATGGTTACTAGAGGAGAAGAGGGGGTAATAAAGGGTAAAGGGGGACAAATTTATGGTGACAAAATAAGACAAACTTGACTTTGCGTGGTGAGTACACAATGCAATATACAGATCATGTATCATAGAACTGTACACTTAAAACCTATATAATTTTATTAACCAGTGTCCCCCAATAAGTTTACTTTAAAATAAAAAGAAATGAATTCTTATTGTGGCAAACAATATATTTTTAGTTAAGTGGTATAATAAAAAATAAGCATAGATTCCAGAATTGTCAGATAGTCCTATGAAAATCTCAAAAATGGTCTATTGTGATTCAGTCATTTTGCCAGAAAACTGAGGTTTTGTGAGGAAACTGAGGTTCTAAAACAATATGACCAACATTAGGTGACTAGTGTCAAAACCCTGAAAAGGGTCATAAGTCTACAGACTCTAAATAAATGTATAAAAATGTGGTAACTTGCTTTTTGAGATTTCCTGGCTCATTCCCTACCCCCCCAACAACTTTGATGTAATATTTTTTGTTCTTCATCTGTCCCTAGACTACTTGATTCTACTCCCAGTGGTATTTTTATGTTTGTTCATTTTTTTTTTGTATTGGTTTTGAGCATGGGCTGCTGTCCCGGAAGGTAATCCTGGTGGATCCAGGTTGAGAGGTCATGGTGCCTGGACTGACCCACAGACCTGCCACGGACCCCTGGGCCCACTCCTTCTCAAAGTGGGCTAAACCCCTCCCGACTTTAGCTATCGTTCTCAGGGGGCCTGACTGATTTTCCAGTGGATATCTCTCTTTTGGCTTTGTGGTGATTCTCCTGCCTTCTCTCACAAATACCACACAGGTCTTGTGGCTGTTGCCCGTTTGTCCCCATTAGCTTGCGGGTTTTGTAGAGAGGGATTTTCATTCAGTTTTGTTGTGCATGCTTTCCATGGTTTGCTGACTTTGCTTACTAAGTGAGACTGTTTTGATATGAGGACTTTGGAAAATCCAAAAGCTATTCTGACATGACCACCACCATCTCTCCAAAATGCTCCCTTCTTTCTTTTTTTTTACTTTCAACAGTTTTGTTGATTTATAATTAAAATTTTATATTCCATTACATTAATTCATATGAAGTTTTAAATGTAATGGTTTTAGTATATTGATGAAGTTGTATATCTATCACCATAAAAAGTTGGAATATTTTCATCACCCTGAAAGAAAACACTTATTCAATAACATATGCTCCCCAACCCCATATTTTCTTTAGCCCTGAGTAACCATTAATCTATTTTCCACCTCTACATATCTACTATTCTGTACATTTCATATAAATGGTATAATAAAACACATAGTCTTTTGTGATTGGCAGAAGATGGCAGAGAAATTAACATTATGTCTTTTTTTAAGTTCTTAATCTCAAGTGGGAAACAGTAACAATTCCATGATAAATTTTTATGGAAAATTATTTGCATATGATTTGAAGTTGGTTTCCTGATGCAGGAGAATAGGGCAACGTTTGAGAACATGGCATAGTTAATAATAATAATGATTATTATAGCAATAAAATGCAATGCATCCATTTTACTATGTGCCAAGACAATTCTAAGCCACTTCATATATTTTAACATACTCAATATTCACAGAAATCTGTAATGGAAGTAACATTATTATTATTGTCCCCATTTTATTGAGTAGAAAATTGAGGCAAAGTGAAATAAAAACCTCACCCATGCTAGTCAGTGGTAGAGCCAGATCCCACACCCAGAAAGTTCAACTGAAGACTTATAGTGACTTATAATCTAAGCCATTTCTCATTACTCCTATTTCACAGCACTGAGAGTATATTGGCATATAATTTAAAACTAAGGAATAATTGTATTTTTTAGCTCCATACATAGGTTTCCAAACTTTATCATAATGCTTTTTTTGCTTTCTATATTGACTAAAAATATAATTTTAAAACTCTTATTATTTTGTAGCAAGTTGCCCTATTAATAAAAATGGTTACTTTTTTCTAAAATATATTTAATATACAATTAACTATATTCAACTATAATTGACCAGTTTGCCTCTTTATTATTTCTGACATAGAAATAACTATAGTAGTTTATCACTAAATATAAGATATTAAAGTATTACTCAGTAAGCTAAGTATTGGACTGAACTGAACAAAATTAACTGTAATCATGTAAATTTTCACAGGACTTCATGATAAGGAGAGGAAAAAACAGTACAAACTTCTACATGAAATCTGGCAAAGTTGGAACAATTTTCAATTTTCTTCTCTCCTGAATCAAACCATCTAGGAGTCATTGGTTCCCCTGAGAGAAAAGGAATCTCTCTTATTTAATAGAAGCTTCTCTTTTTTCCTAAAATATTAGAAAAAAACCTTTTAGGTTGCTAGAAGCAACTTGAGTAAATATAATAGAAATTTACCATGTTACTAGGAAAGTTACTAGAAAACAGCGCCACATTCTGACTTCTTGACATCTTTTCATGATTTTATATATGTTCGGAGCCCTCCTTTCCGCTGTCTTGGCACCCTCCCCACCCCTCCTCTAAACCCAAATCCTGTCTCCTGCTCACATGGATACCTGAGCTCCGTGCCTCCTAGATCACCTGGGCTTCAGAATTCCGACTTTATAAAACACGTTCCTGGAAATGTAGTGGGGAGAACCCAACTAAAGAACAGGACTTCTAGGCAGAATCCTCTGAAGCAATCCAGGCCATAAAAAGAGCAGATGCTATAACATCACCAAAAGCCAGAGTCACATCTTTTAACTTCCTTGGTGAAGTCATACTTTAATGTGAGAGCAACAATAACATTAAATAGTATTCAAGTTTAGCTCTCAGTCCTGGGAGACTGTCTCCAAGTGACTCAGTGTAGAAAATCACAGAAGGCTCCATTGGCAGTGTATGCCACACAGTACTATTTTGGAAATCAGATGGAATAATTCCTCAGAAAGAACTATGCCAATTGTGAAAACGCACAAATGTGTTTATAATCACTTCTGACATTTTCTAGGTATTTTTATAGGAAAATCTGAGTATAGTTAGACTTCACCTTTAGAAACATGACAAATAGCAAAGTTTTTCAAGTTGCTGTTTACTTGGAAGAGTAGCATCTTGCATACCCTCAGCATGGCTATCAACTCAGGTTCTGCTTGAGTTATAACTGGTTGAACTTATTCCTCAGACAGTCGCTAACTGCTGGCTTTCTAACTCTCCTTTACTGGTTTAAAATTAATTTGAATTAGATAAATGTACATAAATATTAGGCCTATACTTTAAATGGTGTTGAAAAATAAATAACTCAAAAGAGAACACTTCTGCATCTTAGAAAGGAGATGGTATGAAAGACAGACATTACTCGTATAACAGACTAATGGAGAAAATACTCTCTATTAACATGTAAGTGTAGGTTCCACAGTTATGAAATGACCTTTTTCAATTCATTTTGTGTGTGTACAGAATATATAACAGTAGAATATTTTATAAATATGAAACAAAGATAAAAGGGCTAGATTACAAGTGTGCTTCCAAATGGGAATGTTGTCAGACACGTACCAGTCACGCAGTTTTTAGATTCACTGCCATTGATTGCAGCTCTTCCTCCGAGATCTCTTGTCGATATCTTGAAATAGAACTTTAAAATCTCTTCGTTTTCCTAGCAGGATGACAGCCTTTTGCCAACGAAGACCAGAATTCCGCTTACTTTCTTGCCATACTTTTGATAGTCCTTTCTCTGTCTGAAATTTTTTTAAAAAGTTTGCATTAGGAAAATAATTAAACACAAGATAAAAAGAAGGAAAAAAAACAATCAGAAGCATTTGAAGAGTGAAAATTGATTTAAAAACATTGGAACTGTGGTTAGCTATGATATACATTACATTATCAAACAGACATAATAATCTACAGAAGTGCTTTCTAAAAGTAATACTAGCAGAAATCACAATAAACTTTTGTTATTTTCAGAGACACAATTATTTTAAAATGTCCTACTTAGTTTAATCCACCCCTTCTTGCATGTACACAAAATTCTCTATATCTGATGGAATCTGAACAGTTTACAGAAATCCTAGGTTTATAGCTCTGCATATTCCCTGAACCCTCTATGCATATTCTTTCATCGTTGAGATTGCACCTTCCTTAAAAGAACGGAAATAACTTAGAGAAGAAAAGGGAAAAGAGATATGAAAGGAGGAATATGGGAGGGATCACTTATTCCTGATGAATATGATAAAGTAATTTTGGAGTGACGAGCATGGATGGAAAATCATAATTTCTAAATTCAGTCAGATTTCAAAAATTCAATTATTCTGTTATTTTTGACTACTGAAAATTCTATTACATCATGGTTATTATAGAAGCATCAACTATAATCATTCTATACCAAATTCTTCATTTGGTATAGAAAATTAATTTCCTAAAACACCCATAAATATTTCCTCTGAATGTCTAAGGTTGGCCTACTCCAGTCCAGTGTTAGAATTTATGGAGAGTGCCAGTATAATATGACATGACAGTAAAGAACCTGACATGACATAAAACCCTAATGATCAAATAAAAATGACACCTAAAGTAAAACAGAATATAAGCCAGTTGAGCATAAAGACAAGGCTTAAATGGTCTGCATTTTTCTTTGCTATTTTGAGCCTAGCCTATTTTGGTAATTAGATGTTTAGTAAATCATGATAATGAATACAAGAAACATAAAAATAAATAAATTGTGTTTATGGTTAGCCCCAAATAATGAATATCTCAGGGTCCAGTGCTGTGTTTTTATGGTGAACTCACAAGAAAAACTTTCTGTGAAATTTGGAATCAAACAGGGGAATAAAGGGGAACATTGAGTGTAATGGCAGCCAGAAAATCAAGGAAGATATGGCAATGGATTTATAGCACAGAATTCTGAAATATACAATTTACAGAGTTTTTTAAATATAGACTAAAGAAATGTTTGAAATAGATAACCAAAGGAGTTGGCATTCCCAGTTTCCTGTTTTTAGGGAGCCCATGTAAACGAGTATGTGGACCCTTGTTCTCTGAGGGAGACACAGATCAGTCACGTGCTGCTTCCTGCGCCTGTTCACAGTCAGGAAGTGGAACTCGGCATCAGTTCATCTAAAATTAACTTTCCAAAAGAACTAAGATCTCAACATCCATTCCAAAACAACAACAACAAATCTTTACATGCAGAGACTCTAGTAACTTCTGTATTGAGAGGGTGGAAAATTCACACCTAATAGAGTTTCATATCTTTCTGATGACTAATGAAGGCAAGCCTTTTTCAAGGTTAGTCTTTGACTCTCAGTGATGATGTCTCACTGATCTGCAATCAAGGACATGGTAAGTTTAATTAAAGATTAAAGTAGAAGGGATCTGTCTGACACAAAGCTATATAACAGGCATGGGTTTTGATAAAGTCTATCTCAATTTACAAGCATAATTCATTTTGCTAATTTTTCCTTTCAATTTGTTTTTGTGGTTTAAAAAGTCACTCACCAAATATGTCAAGTCTCAAAGGGTTTTCATGAAAAAAATCATCAAAGAAGTTTGTGTGATCACTTTATTCTTTTTTATAATTGTTTTTAATTTTTTGTTTTATTTTTAAATTGTTGTTCAAGCAGAGTTGTCTTCATTTTACCCCCCCACTCCCCCATCCCAGCCATCCCTGCCTCCCACCCTTGATCCTACCCTCCCTTTGGGGTTGTCCATGTGTCTCTTATGCATGTTCCTGAAAACCCCTCTAAATAAGAATAATTTCTTAAATCTTACAACTGGCTTTTTAATAAAAAAATATTTTAAAGACATTCACTGTCATCTTTATTATATTTTATTGTTTATGCTTTTACAGTTTTCCCAATTTCCCCCCCTTTGTCCTTGTCTACCCAATGCCCCCACTCCCTCAGGCAATCCCCACACGGTTGTCCATGTTCATGGGTCCTGCATATATGTTCTTTGGCTACTTCATTTCCTACAGTTATTTTACACCCCATGACTATTCTGTAACTGCCAATGTGTGCTTCTTAAACCCTTTACCTTTTTCACCTGTGTTCCTGACTGACCTCCCATTCATGGTCATTTTATGCGGTAGAAAAAGAAAAAAGGAGTGAATTGTCTTGTAAACCAACCACTGATTGACTTAGTGATGTGTTATTGTAGAACATACAAGGTCTGCCCAGAAAAAGTTCAACCATTGTTAATATAATGAGAATGGCTTGCACAACATTGATGTAACCTGGCAACCAAGGAGAGTGGACTAGAATGCACATGTGGGAACAATGACAACTTCACTGTACTAGTCAGTGGGGTGGTAGATGCCACTGAGTGAGAATGTGTACTGTGTGCTTGCATTCAAAATGACTGAGTGAGTAGAGCAACAAATCTGCATCAAATTTTACAATAAGCTTGACCATTCCTCCACAGACCCTATTTGGATAATTCAGAAGGTCACAGCTTTGGGCAACTGGTGATTGGTAGCTTTATCACCATAATACACCTGCTCATGCATCATGTCTCATAGAGTTTTTTGGTAAAACATCAAATCACCCAGGTGACTCGGCCCCTCTACAGCCCAGATCTGGTGCCCTGTGACTTCTGGCTTTTCCCAAAACTAAAATTACCTTTGAAAGGGAAGCGATTTCAGACCACTGATGACATTTAGGAAAGTACAACGGGGCAGCTGATGGTGATTGGGAGAACTGTGTGAGGTCCAGAGGTGCCTACTTTGAAGAGGACTGAGGCATCATTGTCCTGTGTACAATGTTACATGTGTCTTGTATCTTCTTCAATAAACATCTCTATTCATGTTACATGGCTTGATACTTTTATGGAAAGACCTTGTAATTCTATACATTTTACTATTGTTCCATTCTGTATGTAACATATCAAATTTTATCCCCATAATTATCAAAAGCATTCATCCAAATGTGCAATGGAAATTTACTTATTGACTTATCAGTCCACTCATTCACTTATTTAGCAAACACTTGATGCTCACGCAATTCCACATACTATGTTATATACCTGGAACAAAAAGGGTGAGAAGCAAGGGTGCCTACCTTGTGAAGGTAATAATCTAATAGGAGAAAACCACAGAAGTAAATCACTGTAAAATTACTACAGAAATATAAAGCAGAGCAACTTTTTAAAAAGTGGTTAGATATCTATCCCCAAATACTTATTCCACATACATTGGTGCTTTATTTATTTACTTAGTATTCTGATTTCAATTCTTCCTGAATTGAGAAAAAAATCTCTTAGTTGAAATTCATGTCTTTGCCACTGCCTAAGAATATCTTTTGTATTCATGTAGATGTTGATTTCAAGAACCCAAAGCAATACCCAAATAAAAAGTGATGACCACTCTAGTAATAATTTTAAATAGACATTAGTATAATAATGTTTAAGTAATAAAATTTGAAAAGAATACTCTTCTTATGATTTAACTATTAATACAACTTTTCACTTTTTCCTTTTTTATTATTCATATTAACCCTCTTATCTCATATGTTGCTTATTTGGTTTGACAGTGAGTTTGTCTTCATACTTTATTCCAGTCTTTCCCTTTTGGGTCATGTAAGAGCAGCAGTAAGAAATACTGAAAAGGATGAGCCACTTCAATTGTAGATATGTATTAGTAAGGAACTGTACAGCCACTTGGAATTTCAGTATCATATGTTCAAGGAACATATGTAGAGGAATATATAACTTTTCCTCAAATTCTTAAGGCAATTTTTCCAAATCCAATCGAGCAGCAACTCTTTCCTCCAACTGTTTTTTTAATCATATTTTGAGTCTGTTTCTAGAATTTCCATATCAGTCTTTGGTCTATAGTCCCCCAACATTGTCATACATATTAAGTCACACTGTATTTTATTCTGGGAAGATGTGAGTGGACTTATTTTCCATGTTCCTTCTGATAATAATATCTAAACCCCCTGGACATTATATTTAGCTTTATATAAACATAAAAGATTCTGAAGTGCAGAGAGAAAGCAGACTTGCCAGGGACCTCAGGACACAGGAAATACAAGTGATGAGTTTTCTAAATTTTCTTTTTGTATTACATATTCAAAAACAGACATGAGAATCTGTCAACATGGAAATTCAACAGGCATGATCTGCTGTTTCCAGCCAAAGTACCAGGAGAGGGAAGTCTAGCAAGAAAGAAACCATTTCGGTAATAATTGTTCTACAATAGCCAAGCAACATAGAAAAATTACAGTCTGACCATTTACTCCCAATGGCAAAGGCTGAGCAGACCTAGGTTTCTACCCAGATCTCAGCTCTCTGCTCAGGGAGAGCAGAAGAAATTTTAAACCGTGCAGACATATTTTTTGAACTAAAACAAGAACAAAAATAATTTAAGATGTTTGGCCCTAATGTCACTGTCACAGTAGCCTCATTTTGTCTTCTCCCTCCAAACAAGATGAAAACATCGAATATTTGAAGCCACATGCATAATTTAACTTCTGTTAAAAGCTTCCATACTTGTAATAAAATATTTTTTAATAAATGTAGAGGAGTGGCTAGGATTTAGAATACATGAATCTAGTAGGTCAATTTATATAATTCTTTTTTTTTTGGCTCTGTCATTTTTTATTTTATTTTTTAAATTGTTCAAGTACATTTTTCTGCCTTTACCCCCCATTCCTCCCTATCTCCCTCCCATTTCCATCCCCATTATTGTTCATGTGTCCTTTATAATTATCCCTGCAAACCCTTTACCCTTTTCCCATGAAAT